GCAAGCGGTCTGGGGGAGGAGTGAGCACCCCTGAGACCCCAGAGGCCCCCGCCAGCCCCGGAGTCAGGGCGGCGGGTCCGGGCCCCGCCCGCGGGGAGCTCTCTCACCAGAACTGTCGTAGCAGTCCACGGAGAAGGGGTCCGTCCTCTGCTCGTCCGGGACGTGGTCGCACGTGATGTGGGGGACCGTCAGCGTCTTCTCCCCCGGGCTCACCCCGTTGTCCCTGTCCAGTTTGAACTTTTTTTTCTTCATCTAGAAAACCAGACAATGAGTTGGCGGTTCCTGGGCCGCCTCCGCCGGGCGGTCCGCCGCCCCTGAATGCCCGTGGCTGCCCCGCTAGGCCTCTGCCAGGGAGCCGGGGCCCAGGGGTCCAGCTCCAGCCCAGCACCCACCCACACAGAGGGCCGGCTGCGGTGCTGCGGGGATCCCTTGGGGGTGCTCAGCCCCGGCAGCTCACAGCCAAGGGGAGCAAGTAGACAGGAAGCAGACAAGCATACGAGAACACGCCGGAGTGGGTGTTCGAGCCTGTGAGGGGGCGTCGAATGCAGCTAACGAAAGCCCCTTTGAGGAGCGACCCCGAGGGACTGAGGGAACAGGCCACGCAGGAATCTGGGAGGAGGCTCCGGCCGAGGGCTCGGGGGTGGGGGCCAGGATGACCCGGCCTTCATCCACCACTCCAGCCAAATGGCAAGACGCGTGCCCACAGCCTGCCCCAACGCTCCCAGCTGTGACCTCCAGACCCTCCGCCCTGAGCCAGACATCACCTCCATCCCCCGCCGCCCACCACGCCCAGCCCCCCGACACCAAGGCCCTCTCGAGAGCCGTCTCCAGCAGCAGCTGGAGCCCAGCCGTCCCTGTCCAACTCCGGACCTGCCCAGCCCTGGCCTTGGAGCAGCCGGCCCTACGCGCCCGTGAGCCTGGGGACAGTGGGAGGGTAGGGTCCGGGCCGGGCTGGGTGCCCCCAGGACTGGAATGGCACTGACGCCGGGGTGCAGTCCAGGCCAGGAGCTGACCTCATGTCCATCCTGCCTGCTAACGAGCGGCCCTCATCCTGGGGGGTGGGAGGCTGGTTACCATGGCGGACTTCTTGGGCTTGGGGCTGGGGGACAGCAGTGAGTGGCCCCGTGAAGGCTTCCGCACGTAGATTTTCCAGGTGGCCGAGTCGGGGTTCTCTGTGGCATAGCACCTCCATGCTGTCTGGAATCAGAAGGGAGACACTGTCACTCGCCGAGCCACCTGGGTGGGGCTCATGCAGAAGCTGCAGCCCACTGACCCTGCCCAGGGCATCCTGCGGGCCGGCCCGACTCCCTCAGACGTGAGCCTGCCCCTCGCCTCCCGCCTGGACCTGGACGGCGTGGCTCGGCCCCTCCCGTGCCAGGCAGCACATGGCCTCATGCACAGCGGCCCGCAGCTCATACACCACAGAGACCTTTGCCCGGGAGTCTCAAGCCACCTGCTGCCACCTCTGCACCCACTGGTCCCTCCTGCGGGTTGGCCCTATGCCAGGCCCCAGGGATGCCGAGATGCCCAGGAGGCCGCCTCTCCCTGGGGCACACACAGACGCAGAACTGGACAGCTGGGGCCTGTCCTGTGAGGGCCTGGGGCTCGTGGGGGCCCTTGGGGCTGGCGGGAGGTGAGGCTGATGGCCGGGAAGCAGAGCCCCTCTCAGAGGCCCGAGTCGGAGCCTTCAGATGGCACGTGGGGACTGAAGCCACAGGGGGACCCCAAACCATCCCTGGGGGACATCCAGCTCTGGGTGCCTGAGGTGTCCACATTGCACTGCAGCCACCCCGCCGGGGAGGGTGTCCCACACCATGGCTGGACACATGCCCCCGGCCCCCTGCGCAGTCACTCCACGGGCAGGCCCTGGGCCCACTCGCCCCCGCTCCTCAGCCCCCAGCAGGGACAGTGGCCCTCCGAGACCCTCAGGGACACGATCTTACAATGGTTCCTGCGTCTGCGTCTGTTTGCATTACAAGGGCACCCCATTCTCTGCCGCGTCCCGGGCGGGGGCTGCAGACCAGAGCCGAGTCCAGGGGCTTGGGGGCAGCTGCCTCCTCTCCCGCCTCTGGGACCTTGCTTTCCCCGCTGGCCCCTGGCGCTGCCTCCTACGACCCCTGCTCAGGGATGGCCTCGTCACAGGGGGGCAAGGAGCTGAGCGTCCAGCTCCCCACTAGGCAGCGAGGGCCTCGGCGCAGGTGGCCGCGGTGCCGAGGATCCGGGCCACGCTCGTCCTCGCCTGCCGCCCCGGGGGTGCTGGGCGCAGCACGGACGTCCTGATGCTACACAGCAGGGTCCTGCCTCCCGTGGGTCTGCTGCCTGGGACCCTGATGCCCGCGCCCAGGCTCGCCCCCCGCGGAGCGAGGCGTGCAGGAGAGAAGGCTGGTGACAGGACTGAGACCCCCACGCCGGTGGCCACAGCCTGAGGCGAGCGACTGGCCACACACTAACCACGCCGAGTCCCGCCTGGCCGGGCCACCTCCTGGTCCCCAGTCCACACAGCGCGACCCCCCGTGGGGCCTTGGGTGGGGAAGGGGACTCCTCTGCTCCCCGGAGCCCGCCCCGTTGGTGGTTCCCATGCACAGAGGCCGCACCAGGCAGCTCGTCCACACGTGGAACGTGGCGCCTCCACATCCTGGGGGCCCCAGGAGCTTCCAGGCCAGGTCGCCTCGGGGCCGAGAGCAGTTCCTGGTTCCCAGAATGGATACTAGCTTCTATTTACCCAGGTGGACACAGGGCTGGACCTAACAAGAATAAGGGGACAGTCGTGGCAAGGCCGCCACGGCGGGCGCCACCACCTGGATGAGCGAGGCTGCCGCCGGGATCTGCCGGTTGAAGTGCTTCTGCCTCTGCTTCTGCTGGACCTTCAGGGCGAAGCCGGAGCCGAGAATACCCTGGGGGAGGACAGAAGCCAGGGCTCAGGGCCGCACGCGGCCACGGCTGGGCCCGGCCCATAGGACGGGGTCCCAGGTCACCGGCTCGGGGAGGCTGGGCCTGCTCGGCATGCAGACCCCACGAGCAAGGCGGGCGCCTCTGGCCAGCCTGCCCGGGCCAAAGGCAGCCCCCGCTGGACAAGGGTGACTGCTGCGCTCAGGCTGGTGATGGCATCGGAAGGGCCAGCTCGCTGGGTGGGGACCGGGCTGCGCACACGCGTGTATACAGAACCCCGTGCTACAGCTACGTGACACGCACATGCGTGCAATCCGCAGGCACACACACTACGGACACACCGCACACGCACGCGGTGCACACGCAGTGGACTAGAAGATCTAACCCTCGGGGGCTACGCTTTCTGGGAAGGACGTGGATCAAAGCCCCTCCCAGGCCACAGCACTGGACCAGCCGCTCCCTCGCCAGGCACAAGAATGCCCCCTCTGGCGGTCACGTGGCCCCCTCTGGCGGTCACGTGGCCTCCTCTGGCGGTCACGTGGCCTCCTCTGGCGGTCACTTGGCCTCCTCTGGCGGTCACGTGGCCTCCCGCTCCCCGCTGGGAAAGGCCCTGGCCAGGCCACCTCCGCGCTTGTCACAGCGGACCCCACTGGGGTCCCGTGGCAGGTGAGCTGGTCTCTGGGTGTCCTGCCTCTAAGTGTGTTGCTCACGGCAGGGGCCCCCGGCGCTCCCCGAGCCCGGGGCTGGGGGCCCTGTGCGCAGCAGACGCCCCCTCCTGCTCCCCCTGCGGTAGCCCCGCCCCCCCGCCACCTACCGCCGGGAGCGCGAAGAACGAGATGGCGAAGACGGAGAAGCAGGACGCCACCGTCTTCCCGACCCAGGTCTGCGGCACTTTGTCCCCGTAGCCGATGGTGGTGACCGTGACCTGCGCGGGGCAAGGACAGTGGTCGGCGGTCATGGCCCCGGGGCCTCTGGACGGGCATCTGTCCAGCCCCACCCCACGACCTGCCTCCCGGGGAGGGTCCCATCGGCAAGACAGCGCGGCCGGCCAGACTCCAGGGCCAGCGTGGCCGAGCGCGCTGGGCCGTCCACACGGCACGGCGGAGGGACACAGGCTCAGTGGGGTCAGCACAGGAGCTTGGGCCGGGGGAGGGCCGGGGCCCACGGGCGGCCGTGCAGGCCGGGAGGCCGCCCCCCGGAAGGCCAAGCCTGGCCGCCCTGCCCCATCCCAGCGAAGGCTGCCACCAGGGCCACCGACATCGCTGAGCGCCGGGCCCCCGGGGGGGCGTCCCCGACAAAGAGCCGGACGGGGATGACGTGCCGCTTCCCGATGCCACCCTGGCACCATATGTCCCATGTGTCCTTTCTTCCCAGAGAACGAGGTGCAGCTCGGCCCTTCTTCTTGGTGGGGGAGCTGTCGGTCCGGGGTTTGTGGCAAGATGAGGGGGAGGCTGCCCCTGCCCTGCCCCCACCCGGGGCCGCCTCCTGCTGGCATCCGAGCTTTGCTCCCCGGGGCCTCCAGCATGATCCTGAAGGTGACATCCTGCAGGGACACGAGAGCCCACCCTGGCTGGGCACAGCTCCTCGTGCCCCTCGTCTACCCCCTGAGTCTGGGCTGTGGGCTGCCTGCTGCGTTTTCCAGGAGCCGGCTCTGAGCCTGGCAAGGGGTCCCAGGATGTCCCAGAGTCACAGCTTGTCCTGCTGGCTCCTGCTCTCGCCCCTGCGCCGTGGCCCAGCGTGCCCGTGAAGCTTCCAGAGGCCTGAGGGAGATCGCCCTGGGTGGACCTGCCCACCCCGTGGACTGACCGGGGCAGCCCGGCTCCCCGCTCTGGGAATTCTAGTCCAGGCCACGAGAGAACGGCCTCCCGCAGGCCCAAGAAGGTCTGCGTGGAGCCTGCAGCCCGTGAGCCCGCTGTGGGAGTGGGCACCATGGAGGCAGGACCTGGGAGGACCCCGCCTGACGGTGAGGCCCAGACAGGCCCACACGCGGACGGCGGGGTGAGGCAGGAGGTCTGTGGGAACGGGAACCCCGAGGGAGGCCGGCAGCAGGGAGGACCCCATGGCACACGGGGCGTGTGGACGTGGGGGCTGTCCGGGCACGGGGGGCAGTTCCCGTGACCGGGGGTGTTACTGTCCGGCCACTGCTGAGCCCGTCTGTCCTGCCCAGTGCCCAGCACCCCCGCAGAGGCCCAACTGGGTGTCTACTCAGGGTTCCGGCCCTCCTGGGGGGCCACTCACACGCCATCACCCCTGACTGCCCACAGCGTGTCTGTGCCACACCATCGTCCTGTCCTGCAGAAGAGCCGAGCTGCCCGCTGCCCGCCGGGGAGCCTGTGCCCGCGGGCGCACACTTGCAGACCTGACTCCGACGCGCACGCACACACCGAGCCATGCCAGGGCCCAGTGAGCTGACGCAGCAACGTGGCGCGCACATGCACGCATGACACACGCAGGGCGCAAGGGCGCACACAGGGCCGGGGCCTGTGTCCAGCCTGACACTCTCGGGCACACTCAGGCCCAGCACCTCACACCCACAGCGCACACACACACGCTGTGCGAGCCCGGAGCATGGCCCAGGTGCCTGCGGGTGCAGCCAGGACACCCTGGGGCCACGGCAAGGTGACGCCGGCTGGCAGACAAGGGGGTCCTGGGGGCGCCCGGAGCCCCCTCTGCAGGGCCTGAGCCCCATGCGTGAGGCCTGGGTGGCTGCTGCGCCTCAAAGGGCCAGGGGCACGGCGCTCAGGCAGATCTGGGGCTGCAAGTGGGCGGGGCACTGGGGAGCTCCCCACAGCCCGCATCGGGACAGTCGGTTTTCCTAAAGTTGTCTTGTTTACGCGAACATGCACTATTAACGTGTATTAGATTAACCGTCTATTATCATTTTAATGCGTTCACATGGAAACCTTTAAATGATTTCTGTTTTCCGACGCCTCGAGTGCAGGAGAGGCAGCCATAGGAACAAAGGTTCCTGGGGTTCTCGATGCCTGTTAAGAGTGGACAGAGGCCTCAGCTGAGACGGGAACGCGTGGCAAGGTGGCCTCCGAGGCAGGTGACCACTCAGAACCACGGGGGCCAAGGCCAGGGAGGCGCTCGTGCCCGGGGCGCCAAGCTTAGGGGGTGGCAGAACACTCAGGCATTAGGAAAGACGACACGTCCTGCGACCATTTTAAAGGATCGAAATTAACGTGGAAAACGCACAGTGGCCGGGAGGGGAGGGGAGGGCTGGCTGGGAGGGCCTGGGAGACGGGGCGAGCCTGCCGCAGGCCACCTCCCGTAGCAGACGAGAGCCCGGCCAGGCCCCTCGTCCCGGTCCCGCCTGGCCCCGGGCCCCGTCCTGTGCCTGCCCAGGAGCTGCTGGGACCCAGGCCGGTGTCCCCCGCCCCCGAGGGCAGAGCCCACGCCCATCGCTCAGGATGGCCTGGGCCCCTCAGACCTTGTCACAGACCCTCTTTGTCAACTTAACGACGTCCTTTCTGCCCTCGGAGGAAGCGGCCCATCCCCACAGAGCTGTTTGTTTTCCCTGAATTCACAGACACAAGCGGCTCGGGAACGGCCCGTTTTATAGCCGCTGTGCTCGGAACTGGCCCCCAGCGCGGGCGACCGAGTGCAGATCTGCACGTCTCCAGGGCCGACTGGCCTGGGGACCGCTGCAGCCCTCGCCCGGCGCTGGGCAGCTCACGTGTGACCCCACGGGCACATCGGGCCTGTCCCAGCGGAGGCGGCTGGGGCGGGGGCCAAGCCCCCAGGGGCTGGTGCTGGGGTGCTCGAAGCTCCTGTGTCTTCACTCGCATTTCGAAGGACGAGAGGCAAAGAGAACTCTCTGGCCGCCCCCCCCCGCCCCCGCCCCGCACGCTGCCCTGAGAAGCTGGCACTGGCACCATCACATTCTCTCTTTTTAAAGCCGCGTCCTGTGGGCTGACCTCTGAAGGAAACGGGCCGGCCCAGAAACCTTGACCCCGCTGGGCAGGCGGTCAGCCTGCAGCCACCCCCACCGGCCGGACGCATCTGGAGATGTCGTGGCCATCTGTCCAGAGGGAAGGGGTGGCCAGGAGCGGGAGAGAGGACTCCGCCAACGCAGACACTTAGGGGCTCACCACGGGGCACACGTCCATTTGTCGAACTTACACGATGCTGTGAGCTAAAGACCACGTTACGCAGGGAGAAACCGAGGCCGGGAGGAGCCATTGCCGTGCCCGAGGGTCTCACGGCTGCTCGGTGACTGAGCCGGCAGGGCCAAGGCCACCCCACCCTCCACACCACGACGCCAGGAAGGCAAGACAACAAAGCCGAGGAAGAGGCTGCCCCGTCGCCTCAGTCCAGGCCTGGCCCAGAGTCCAGCCAGCACCCTGCTCGGGGGCTGCTGTGTGGACAGGGCGAGTGGAGGGCCACCGCGGGCAGGCGGAGGCCGGGTGGGGCGGGGCTGCTTTGCGGCCTGGGTCTCGTTTATCTTCCCACTCCCAAGAGGCTTGGAGCCGCAGCTGGGCACCGAGCAGGTCCCACGGCCCTGCCCGGCATGGCTAACGGACCAGCCGGCCGGCAGCTGGCCGGGGATCCGACACTCGTGCTGCCGGGAAGGGGCCTGTACCTGAGGGCCACAGCACAGCACCGCAGGGCGTGGTCAGGACCCGCCTTTCCCTCCTCCGCGTGGCACCGCGAGTCCCACACAGAGGCCGACGCAATGCCCTGGACGCCCGGGCCACGCCCACCGCGGCACAGCCAGGCGCGACGCCCCGCGTGCGGCAGGCCCCAGATGACTCTGCTTTTGGTCTCAGCTCAGATGTCCCCTCAGGGACGCCCACGACCACGCCTCCGAGAGCGAGACCAGGGTGCCCGGCACAGAGCCGGCCTCGCCAGCAGGACCCGTCGTCCACGGAGTCTCCATGGCAACAGAGACAGGCCGCCGTGCTGGGACCGCGGCCCGCTGGGCGAGCCCCGTGTCGGCCCTAGAGCCACGTCCTCTGTCCCCCGTGCAACAGATGGGGAATCAAGGCACGGAGCAGTCACGTGCCCTGCCCTGGACCCGGGGCCAGTTCAAAGGTGTGGCTGGCTTTGGGCGCCCGGAAGCTGTCTTCACTGCCCGCCCTCCCCGGCTCGGCTGTGCTGCCTGGGGAAGGGCCCATCACTCATCCGTGAGCCCCGCCCTGGGCTGGCCCGGCCCAGGTCCTGGGGGCGGGGTCAGGAACACCAGGTCGCTGGGGTCCATGAGGGGCCCAAACCACAGGCACCGAGAGGGGCTGCTCTTCGAGGAGAGTGCTGGAGGCAGGAAGCTGGTCAGGGGCAGAGCAGGACCCGCAAGATCAGAAGGGCGAAAGGGTATGACTGGATCATGGCAGCCGTAAACGCTTTAGTGTGAATTAGCTTGTTATGGACCTACCACGAGCGTCTGGCTTTGGGGGACACCAAGAGAACTGGGGCTGGGAACAGCTCCCTAAAATTCACAACCAGCCTTCACTGCGTCTGCTGGGCGCCTGGTGCCCCCGGCTTTCTGTGTTCTGACTTGACATTCCAACAATCTCTGGACATGGACGCTCACTGACATTTCGCAGATCGGCCCAGAGAGGCTGGGTAACCTGCCTGGGGCCACACAGCTGGCCGGCGGTGGAACTGGGGCGCTGCCCCGCGTCCGCCCCAGCCCCACGCCCTTGACCACCACGTCATCACACCATTTCTGGCTTCAGTGTCCTGAGGCTGACCGCGCTTCTCTTCCTCAGGCGGCAGCGGGAAAGCTCATCCCTCTCTGACGTGAGCTGAGCGCACCCCGAAGGACCCCAATCCCGTACTCCGCCCTCACTGAGCCGGCTTCTCCAAACGAGAAGTCCCCCAAGTGCTGGCCGGAGGGCAGGGGATCAACCCGCCCCGTGGACCCCTACTCAGCCTGCAGCCCCCAGCGGTCAAGGGCCGTCCCTAAGGAGGGTGCCCCGGCTGGGGCCCCGGGCCCACCATTCCCACCCACCCTGGCTGGTCTGTGGCACAGGCCGCGCAGGGGCTGGCAGCGGCCCGGGGTCCCGTGGACCCTTGGCTCAGCCGCATGGCACTCCCAGGCTTCGCACGGAGCTCGGGGCAGAGGCCAAGTCCTGGAAGGGGCGGGGCCCGAGCACTGGGGTGGGGGCCTGGCCTGCCACCTGCCCCCCCCAGCCGTGGGTGCAGAGGAGGTCCCCACACAGGTTGTGCCTAACTGGGCTCGCGTGGGAGCGTCTGGGAGGCCCCGGGCTCACCCAGGCTCCCACAGGCCCCCCGCCTCGCCCCTCCAGGACACGATACAGCCGGAGAGGCCGGAACCTTCCGGAGCCGCCAACGACGGGGCGAGTCAGCGGGAGTCGGGCTATTTTACATGGTGGCTGAGGGGGAGGGACGAGCTCCCAGCTTCTTCACTCTACATTCTAAATTTAGCTGCGGGGGGTAAACAGAGCCGGCGGCCTCTGGTTTTAGAGACCCCTGGGCCTAGACAGAGGAGCCCGTGTTCGCGGAGCTGCTCCCCTGCACTCCGGCTCAGCACAAACAAACGCATCTTGTTCCAAGGGCAAATAAAAACGTCCAAACCCGCCCCCAACGCCAGCAGCCAGGCGCGGGGCGCCACATGTGGGGTAGCGGGGAGCTCCAAGCGGATCTGGGCGTCTGTGCCCGGGGTCGGGGGACAGGAGGGAACACTCGGCCATCGAGCTGGCACGCTTGCCACACGGCGTGGAGACAGGCTCGGTGAGGGGAGGGACCCCCTTGTGAAGGCCCCCGGTTCACCTGCTGTCCGGGGCTGGGTGCTGTCCCCCGTCCCCCGAAACTCGCGTCCACCTGGATCCCTGGAACACGAGCTTACTTGTAACGGGCCCCTTGTCGAGGTCATTAAGTTAAGGATCTCAAGTCGAGATTGTCCTGGGTTACCCACATGGGCCCTGAGACCCAAAGACAAGTGTCCTCATGACAGACAAGAGATGTGGCCGCCAGCCCAGGAGCGCCTGGAGCCCCTAGAAGCCGGAAGGGGCAGGAGGGACCCCCCCCTGGAGCCTCCGGAGGGGCCAGCCCTGCCACACCTCGATCTTGGTCTCCGGAACTGCAGAGAACGTGTCTTTCATCTGAGACCTCGGTCTGGGACTGTGTTGGGGTGGCCCCAGGAGACTAAGACAGCCACTGACCCAGGGGCCAGGCACGGAATTGACGGCTAGGCACATCAGCTCATTCACTCATTCACTCATTCATTCATTCCTTCATTCCTTCACGCAGCAAACACCGGCTGAGCCTAGAGGCTGAGGAAACTCATAGCTCCCACGGCCGGACGGGGCCACGAGCATCTGCGAACGCGGCTCCCCGCTGGACGCCCCGGCTCTCGGCAGCAAGTGCAGTGGGCGGCGCTTCCTGGACGCAGTCTGGGTCCTCGGTGGCCCCAGCACGACATCGGCAGAGGCCTGGTCTGTGGCCCTCGCCTGTCCGGGGCCCGGTGGCAGCACCACCTGCGTCTGTCCAGCCAGGCGGGGAGCCTGGGGCCGGGCCGGGCAGGGGTGGCGCCCACACCCGTGCTGGGGAACACCCAGGACAAAGGAGACTGACAGGAAGCAACTGGGGCGCAGATGCAGCCTGGCCGGCAGCCCCCCGGCGGGCGCCCGGCTTGCATTTCTGCAGCTCTGCTCGTCCGAGACGCGCCAGGAACACAGCCCATAACTCAAGCCTCGGGGGGCCGCCTGGACAGCTGCAGGGGCGGCCGCTGCTATGAATGGGAGCCGTCTGCCCCAGCGCCCGGGCTGCGGGGGGCCCAGGGTGGCCCAGGGCCTGGCGGGAACAATGGTCAGCCCAGGACCGCGGTGGCCGAGGCTGGGGCTGCAGCTGACGGCGAGGGCCGGGGCGCCAGCGCCAAGCTGGGCACAAAGGGGCCGTTTTCCCGGGCGGCGGGCGGATGTTTGCACAGGTGTGGGAGTGGGTGTGTCGCCACGCTGTGGGCGGGGGCGGGGGGCGGCCTCGCTGCCCACAGCTCCCGGAGTGGCCGGGAAGGGGGGTGTAGCTAGCACCAAGGCTGGGCACTGCTTATCAGCTGAGCCACGGGCCTTCACCCACGTGCTCCTGGCCTCCCGGGAATCCTCCCGGCTCTAGGCGGCCTGTCACCTCTGCCCACCGCGGGCCAGCTCCCTGCTGGGGGCTAAGCTCTCCCTCCCACACGTTCTCGGGCCTACCACACCAGGGCCTGCAGGGCACAGGCATGCGGGGGAGGGAGCGAGGGGTCGGAGCCGGGGCCTTCCCCAGCCCGAGAGCTCGGCTGGTGTGGCCTTGCCCTCGCCAGCACTTCAGAAACACAGAGACACCACCAGCGTCAAGAGCCCGCCGTGCCGGCCTGGCCTCACCGCGTGGGGACACAGAAACAGGGCCACGTGCCTGCCCGGAGCCACAGGCAGCTTCCAAGGCCCATGCACAGGCAGCTTCCCACCCCACCTGGCCAGCTGGGATGGGCCTCCCTCCTGGAGGAGGGTCGGGGGTCTGGAGGGAGGCAGGCCTTTTCTTTCCAGAAGACAACGAACAAGATAGACAGGGCCGGGGCCTGGCACAGCCGCTGCCCCCTGCCCAGTGCCGCTCGGATCCTGTGCTGCCCCCCAGGCCCGGGCCCCACCTCACACAGGCTCTGACCCTCTCCTCTCCCTGGCCCGAGCAGGCCTGGATATCAGCAATGCCCACCTCAGCTCAAAGGGGCTCCCACCCGGCCACACTCGGCCTCCTGCGGCTCGTAACGGGGCCAGCACCCACCTGCTGTCGCCCACCCCCCTGCTCCAGGTTCGGTCCTAGACCCTCCCGGGCCACTAGCTCCTTGCAGCCCAGAGCACTCAGGAGGAGGCAGGTGGGGTGCGAGGGCCTGGCCCGCGCCCCGTCCTCCCCACGCACGTGTCCAACTGAGCGCCCCCAGCTCTATGCGGGCAGGGTTCCAGCCACCGGGCTTGGCGGCCCCAGCCATGCGGCGTGAAGTCTTGAGAAACCAGAGTGTGAGGGCCCACAGAGTGACGGCCTGCCCAGCTCTGCCCAGGGTCCGCAGCCCACTCCCGGGGCGGCCCGCCTGGCCCCGACGTACCACACCCCACCACAGGGCGTCCGCGTAGCTGCCGAACTCCACGCGGCCCGACTCGTTCACGGCGTCCTTCTCGGCCAGGTACACGAAGTAGGAGGAGAAGATGAGGCCCAGGAAGCCGATGTACAGTGTGGTGATCAGCTCCTGGGGGTCAGCAGGGGGCCGGTCAGTGTCCATGGTGCCCGGGGCCGCTGGGGGATGCTCGGGGCAGACGCCTGGCGGGTCCGACAGCTCTGCATAAAGCCAGCACGTCTCACACGGACCTCGGACTTCGAAATACCCTAGTGCCAACAACTGTCGTGGCTAGACGCTGTGGGGTTCCACCGTCCAGGAGCCAGGGGCCCCCGCTGACGCCGGGCGGACGGGTGGGCTCTGCTTGTGGGCACGGGCTCAGCTGTCCACCCGGGGCTCCTTCCCACGGAACAGAGGGAGGTGAGGCCCGCTCTGCCTTCCCGGGCTGCTCTTGGCCATTTCAGATTCTGGAGCCCCCTGGGCCTGTCCTCGCACGCCTGACCCTTCATCTGCCCGAGAGTCACTTATCCCCACCTCCAGGGAGGGCGGACACATCGTCAGCCTGGCAGGCTAGGGCACGGGCCGTGTAGCTGGGGACTGGGGCTCGGCCGAAAGCCCACACTGGCCCCTGTCCTTCCCACCCCTCCCCCGGGCCCCACCTGGCGATGGATGAAGACCACGGAGCCCAGCAGCCTCCAGGTACCTCCTTGGCGGTCCACGTGCAGCATTCGTAGGATCTGCAGGAAGCGGATGCCCCTGCGAAGGAGCCATGTGTGTCCCCACCGCCACGACCGGGCCGGGACCCGCCCCCTCACCCCACCTCAAGCACAGGGCCGGGCCCTGGGGGACGCCCCGATCGGCCCAGGTTACAGATGAGCAGACTGAGGTCCCCAGTGTCCCAGAAGCGAGTGAGGGCTTGTGCCAGGAATGGAACCCTAACTCAGCTTGGGCCCGGAACCTGCCCCCAGCCACGCTGCCCCGTGGCTCTGCACCTGTAGCCGAGAGAGCCGGCAGCCCGGGCGTACCTGATGGCCGAGGTGGCAAACACCTGCCCCTTGGAGCCCACGCAGAGAACGACCATGGAGGCCACAACCACGATGAGGTCTGGGGAGGCAGCAGGTCAGCCCTGTCACCAGCCGGGCAGCTGGCTCAGGGGAAAGAGCCTCGCGGTCCGGCTGGACAGGGCCCCACAGAGGGGACGCGGGGACACCTTGGGTGGGAGACCCTCTCTCTGGCCTAGGCGCGTGCAGAGGCCCCCGATTCACCTCCCCACCCCGGCCTGCAGGCCGCTGAGGGCAGCAGGCAGCCACGTCATACTGAGCACAACCGGACCCCTGTCCTGCGGGCGGCATTGGAGGGCGGGGACATCGCCCCGCTGGGCCTGGGGTCCTTCAGGGGTGCTCGCGCTAGGTCCCCCACCAAGTCCGCCCTTCCTGGGGAGGGTGCCCACCTGGGCCTGACCCCGCGGGGCGAGGCGCCCGTGGGCACAGACGCGACTCACCGATGATGGAGATGGGCTTCCGGGCAAAGCGCAGCCGCCCCCAGATGCCCACGTACTTGCTGCGGCAGCCGGCCGACCAGAGGCGCACCACGTACTCCGTCCCGAAGAACACCACCAGGACGATCTCCTGCGGGGACAGGGGCGAGAGCTCACCTCGTGGCGGCTCTGCCAACGCTCAAGCCCGGCCACGCCACCGGGCAGGCCCGCGGCCCCGGGCACCTCTGGGGGAGCCCCAGCAGCAGCCGGCCTGCGCCCTGGCCTGCGCTGCCCACCCAGACAGGCCAACGGCCCCACGGCGGGCACCCGCGAGGCCTGCTCCTCTTCAGACCGGGGCACTTTCGGGCCCAAGGGCACATCCGCACCCCTGGGCCTGTGCGCTCGCCGGGCCCCGAGAAGCATGACGTCTGCGGCCCGCTGGGGGACGTCCGGCCTCCCGGGACCGCCTCCCCGTCACCACACACAGCCACCACGCCACCAGACACAACTGGCAGCCTTCACGGGGGCCGGGGCCCGGGGAGCTGGGGAGGGGGTCTCAGGGCGTCACCAGCACAGTCTGCAAGGATGGGGCGAATGCGGTGTCAGCTGCGGAACGGGCCCCTCGGGAGGCGCCTCCTGAGGCCACAGCTCCGGCAAGGGCCGTGTCACCCCTCGGCCTGCGGTTGGGGGACTCTGAGGAAGGGGGGAAGCCGGAGGGCCAGGGGCTAACACCTGGATTGCGACGGATGCAGGGATGAAGGGAGAGAGGGGTGGTCGGGTGGAGAAACGAACGGACACGGATGGAATTTGAGGGGAACGCGCCGTGCTCTGAACACCGACAGCCTGGAGGACGCGGACGAACTCCGAGAACCGTGACGCCCACCCGGACCACACCTCAAAGAGACAGATCTGAACGGACCCGAAACTCGCCGGGAGATCGAATCGATAATCAATAATCTCCCAACGAAGAAAACCCGTGACCTGATGGCCTCGGAGGTGGATTCTACCCAACCTCACAGAACCAACCCCCAGCCTCAGACTTCTCCAAAAATCGGAGAGGAGGGAACATTTCCCCGCTCATCCTGCGAGGCCAGCATTTTCGTGACACCGAAGTCAGACAAAAACCCTCCAGAAAAGGAAAAAACAGAACCACGTCCTTTATGAACGCTGTATGCAAAAATCCTCCACAAAATACTAGCAAATGGGATTCTGCAGCATATTGAACGAATTATACACAATGACCAAGTGGGATTTATTCTTGGGATGCAAGGACAGTTCAACATATGAAAACCGATCAATATAATACATCACATTAATGGAATGAAGGGAAAAACACATGATCTCAACTGATGCAGAATAAGCATTTGACAAAATTCAACACCCTTTCAGGATAAAAGCAGTAAAGAAACTAGGGAGAGAAGAGAAATGCACCCACACAATAAAAGTCACGCGGGAAACACCCGGGAAAGCGAGCCGCTCGCGCCTCTCCGACCCGAACGAGACAGCGATGCCCACGCCCAGCACCGCCCCAGCCACGGCGATCGATCGGCCGAGACAGACAAATCCACCCGGCCGGAAAGGGCGCCGCGAAAGAATCTGTCTGCAAGTGGTAGACGATCCTACACGTGGAACGGCCCGACGATCCTCCACGCGCACGGCCCCCTCCCCAAGAACCCTTAGACCGAATCCACGCGTCCGGCAAAGTAGGGTACGGGGTCGACACACAAAATCGGTTGCATTTCTACAAACGATGGACGATCTGAGAAAGAAATGAGAAGAACGAGGCCTCGTACACTCGCATCGTGAAGAACGAAATACAAAGTAACCGAGGAGGTGAGAGCCTCGGACAATGGGAGCTGAAGACTCCGGCTCAAAGACGCCGTCGAAGACTCAACTCGGCGCAGACGCGGCCGGTACTCGCGGACTGAGACGTGCCACCGCCAGGATGTCGCTCCTGCTCAAAGCGGACCACGGAGTCAGGGCGACAAAATCCCAAGGACAATTTTTTCTTTGCAGAAATAGAAAAAGCCATCTTAATTTATACGGAAGCTCAAATGACCCTGAATGAAACGCAGTCCGTCCTCACGATGGAATATGACGCAGCCTTAACAATGAGAGGGAATCTGGACCCGGCCTGTGGTGTCGGGGGGCGGGGGGGGCCATGAGGACGGCACGCGCAGTGGAGTCAGCTGACCGAGCCCGCTTCCGGCTGGCCCCCTGCGCCGTCCCCCGGGAGCCCAGCCCTGGCGGAGGCTTCTGCTCGCACTGGGTGACGGTGGCAAGCCCTGTCCCTACGCCCGACCTCTGCCCTCCCCACCAGGCGCCCCCCACAGGGGGAGGCGGCTGGCCACTGCCGCTGGCTCCCATGTGTTATTAATCAGGATGAAATAATGCTTCTCCCATCCAGCTTGTGTTTGGGGCGAGCTTGGTGGTAACGGGGGGAAATGTGGGAAAGTTTACTGCTGTCCTTTTGCAGAAAAGTTATCAGTAATGTAGAGCCCTTCGGGGGGCTGGGGGGTGTGGCTGGGGGCACCTGGAAGATGGTGGGAGAGCAAGGGGGCGTGGGCACCCGCAGACTCCGTGGCTTCGTGGCAAGGGGACTGGTCCCACCTCTGTCCTCGGTTCTAGGGGCCGTGGCCTTGCCTAGCCCCCCAGGGCGGGGCCATGTCACCTGTGCCCCCCAGCCCTGGGGCGGCACCTGCCCTGGTTGGCACTCACTGTAGCTCTACTGAATGAATGAATGAACGAATGAATGAATGAACAAATGGACAGACCATCGAGCTGGTCAATCTCTTAGCAGGCTTTTTCTTATTTTGATGAATTTTTTTAGATTACTTAAATATCTCTTCAGCCACGTCCTAACCAGATTTGAAGAGCTAGAAGGGTGTTCGAGCAGACCTTAGAATACGCAAGGGGTTGCCCAGATAATTAGGGGTTGCTGCTGATGGCTGTGTAGCCCCCAAATTATCCTGGCCCCCTGCTTCGGGAGGATCTGGTTGGGGTCTCAGCTAGGCCTGCCTTCTGGGGCTGGCAGACTGAGACCACGGGGTTCCCTCCGGAGGGTGAGGTGCAGGAATAATTTAAAGCAAAGCTAACCCCCGAATCCTATTGGAGTCTGGAACGCAGTGGAAGCGTGTCGGCTGAGTGGGCACTCACGTGTCTGAGCTGCCCCAGACGCGGCCACCGGTGCTGTGGGGAGGGGGAGGGGCCTTCCATCATCTCGAGGCCGAGACGGCGGGATGATTGTTTGTCTGGGACAGAAAGCTCTCCGTCCACCTCAGACACTGGGCAGGATGACACTCGGGGCCAAGACCATAGCCAGACCTCAAAACTGGGGGCTGTGCAGTGGGACCCCTAGGGGCTCCCCGGGGCCCGGGCACCTTGAGGGGCAGACTTCCTGGCCGTCTCTAGGAGCCACCTGTCCACCGGCCTGTGTCCTGGGAGGGCTGGCCGGGCTGGCCTGAGGTCTGGACCGAGATGGGCCTTGGCTTCCGTGGGCTGGGGGCTGCTGCGGAGGCTTTGACGGGACTCGCTGTCTATTGGTGGAGGCTGGGGAAAGGGTCTGCAGGAGGGCTGGCCCCTTCAGACAGCCTGTCATGCCACCCCTCATTCAGGGGACGAAGTGGGCTCACGGAATGGCCGGGCCACCCCGTCCTTGCTCTGGATTTAGAGAGGCCTGGCTCCAGCCTCGGTGGTCCGGACCCCAGACGGGTGACCCTCCACCCTTCCTGCCCTCAGGTCCTCCGCCCGGGCAGAGCAGGCCCCACACACACCCTGAAGCAGAGCTAATGGGAACGCACGCTCCCCAGGGCCTGCCGACGGCCACCTCTGCCCCAGCCCAGGGGCTCCCCATGGCCACCCCGAGACTGTCTCCCAAGGTGCCCGTGCACCCTGGTGTTCACCAGTGCCCTGTGCCGGGGATGTTCCCTTCCAGCCCCCCACGCCCTCTGCGGAGCCCCGCCCAGCTCACCATGGAGACCAGGCACCCTCCTTGGCCACCTGGCTGATAACAAAGTCAGCCCAGAGGCCCCCTTTGGCCCTCTGGGTGTGCACATGGGTCAAGGATGGGGCATGGCCTTGAGCTTTGCCCCACAGATATGAGAAGAGGGACCGTCCCTGTGTGTCGAGATCTCCGTGGAGACTCACAGAGACAAAGGACCCCTCCCAGCCCGGCCACTGTCCCTCAGACAAAGCAAGACTGCCTCCTGGCTGCGGCTGGCTTCCCCGGGTGGGGCGCTGAGACCGGTATGGACCCAAACACTTACCGCCCGCCCGAGGCCGGCCGGACACGCAGACAGGGACGTCCAGAGTTGAAACGGCCAACTAGCCCCCGCCCACCCCGCAGGCCCCGTGTCCATCCTTCCAGAAGCTTCGGTGCTGGCCGATCCACGTCCTGGGTGTTCGGGGTGGCTCACAACAATAGGACTTGTATAACTTAGAAATGTCTTTCAAAACAAAGTTCATAAACACCCAGTTATAAAGAACGGACAAAGAACTCGGATAAGTATCCCCCGAAATGGCCAGCGAGCAGACGGAAAGGCGCTCGGCGTCAGAGACGCCGCCCGCGCCC